GAGCTGGAGCCATCACCACCCATCAAGCTGGGAGGGAGAAAACCCCATGGAGAAAAAATGACAGAGCAGAACAGCCACCAAAGACAACAAACAAAAGGCTTTCTTGGGTAAGGAATCATCTCCCTGGGTGCTGTGGCTTTGGCTGAGCAAAGATTTCAGGGGCTCATCCCAAAATGTGGTGTTAAAGCCCCATTCCTCCTGCCATGAGTGACACTGTGGGGGATGTTCACTGTCCCATCTCTCTGCCATGTGTGACACTCTGGGGGATGTTCACTGTCCCATCTCTCTGCCATGTGTGACACTCTGGGGGATGTTCACTGTCCCATCTCTCTGCCATGTGTGACACTCTGGGGGATGTTCACTGTCCCATCTCTCTGCCATGTGTGACACTCTGGGGGATGTTCACTGTCCCATCTCTCTGCCATGAGTGACACTCTGGGGGATGTTCACTGTCCCATCTCTCTGCCATGTGTGACACTGTGGGGGATGTTCACTGTCCCATCTCTCTGCCATGTGTGACACTCTGGGGGATGTTCACTGTCCCAGCTGCAGTGACAGAGGCTCTTGTCACCACAGGGCTGCATGGCAGAGCCCCCGCAGGGTCATGGCCGGGTTCAGGGAGCTCAAACTCCATCAAAATGCCAAATCCGAGCCCCGGGGCTCCCGGGGGAGCTCTGGGGGCTGACACGAAAACATTGCTGGGCTGGAATGAGACCCCCGTGACCCAGGAGAGATTTACTGCAGCAGGGCTGGAGCTTTCCCAGTGAAATCCACTCCAGCCCCGATGGGAGCAGAGAGAAATCCGGGAGCGGGGAGGGACAGGGAGACACCGCAACACGGGAGGCAGGGCCAGGAGGTGAAGAAGTCCCAGGACAGCCACAAACCTCTCCATCTCCATTTTGCAGGAGGAAAGGCGGTGTCAGAGCTGCCTTCAGCCCCGATTTGAGCAGGGTGGCTGAGAGGGAGTACCCGGAGGGTCGGTGCTGCCCATGGCTCAGCCCCTGCCCTGCTGGCTGCCAGCATCCCCCGGCTCTCCCCGCACTCCCCGTGCTCTCCTTTCCTTCAGGGATTGTCTCTGTTCCTACAGGAGCACAACAAGAACTCATCACCTGGCAGAGATCGCTCGGCTGAACGGGAGAGGAAAAGGCAGATCCCTCCGGCATAAATAAATAAAGAGCATAAACGAGGGGTTCTGATACATTTTGTTTTGTTATTTGCCGCCGTTCACGGCGTTATGCTAATCCCGGTGAACTCTGCTCGGCTGGAACAGAGCTGCCGTGTCCTCTCCTCCCTCCGTGAATATCAATTGTGCTGGAGTGGTGGCTAAATGGGCCATCAAAGGGAGATTTCTGGAGATTTTCTCCACCCACCACAAGGCCTTGTAGTTCACAAATATTGGTCACGCGTTGGGCTGGGGAGATAAAACTTATTCTACACACCAAGCAAACTACAAAAATTCTTGCTGATAAGATAATTGATGTGCTTTGCAAAGTCCCCTGAAGGATTGCTGCAGGGTAAGGAGTCTCCTCGAAAACTCCTGAATTTTTGAATCTTCCAGCATCCCTTCCAGCCCGGAGCTGCCCTGATGGGTGTTCAGGGTGATGCCCCCACCACAAAATGCTGGGAATCGGTCCCAGCCGTACCCAGGAGCATTCCCACAGCGGCATCTCTGGGGGCAGGAAGATTAGAAAAGACCTTGAAGGTCTTGTTCCTTACCAAATTTGCTGTAAAGTCACGTCCCTGCACAAAATAAAGCAGAGATTGGTGCAGTGATTGATGCTTTGCCATGGGCTGGTCCCCAGCCAGGCTGGCCCCCTCACCCAGGCATCCAGAAATACACCTGGAAATCAAACTGCAAAGTGTATTTTAGCCACCTCCAGTGGCCTTAGAGCCCAAAATTTGGAGAAGGAACAAAATCCCTGTAGCTTTGCAGTGAACAGCAAAAGTTCAGCTGAAGAGCTGCAGCCAGAAAGGGTTAAAGGGACGTGGGATGCTGGAGGATTGTTTCTTCTGCTTCACTAAACCACTGTTCAGATGGAAAAAAAATAAAAAAGTTAGCTCTCCTCCTGCAAGAATGTAAATGTTGGGAATTTTATCAAATGATTTCTTCAGCCCTCAAGCCATTCTTCAATTTGAAATGCTAGATTGAAAAAAAAAAACGCAGGCAAGAGAGAGAGAGAGAGAGAGAAAGGAAGAAAATATTTCCGCAGCCCAAGAACACTTTGCAGACATTATGGAAAATGTTGCCTGGTTTGTTTCCTCTACTCACTGAACCAATCTTTCGCATTAAAATCAGCAGAGTAGTAAATAAACATGTTTTCTCTAGCCCTGGAGCCATTCCGAGACATCAAATGGTACTTAAGAAATGTTTCTTTCTCCATCACAGAACACTTTTAAAATGTCCATGGCTGAAGGGAGGGAGGATGCTCCTGGACTGGAGCATTAACAGCCTCTGCTGTCTCTCAAAGCTGGGGAGGCCCTGGGCGAGTCACAGAGCTGGGGTTTTCTCTCCTGTTGGAGCACTGGTGGAGTTTTCCATCCCCCCATGGGTGTGGATTTCCTGAGCCCCTCAGCGAGGTGCTGGGGCTGCCCAGCCCCACATCCCCGTGCTGAGCCGGAGCACGGAGCTCAGGGAAGCACCTTGGGACAGCAGGAGCTCGCTGAGCCGCATCCTTGGAGCACAGGATGCTCAGGGAGGGACAGGGGGACACTGCTGGCCACCCCACAGGGATGTTTGACCCCGAGGAGGTGCTTTGGGTGTCTCCTGTGCCAGGGAAGTTCTTGCAGGAGATATTTCTCGTATTTCACCTTTCCCTTTTTGTTGCTCCACGCCCTGTCCAACCTGGCCTTGGACATTTCCAGGGATCTGGGGGCAGCCACAGCTTCTCTGGGCACCCACCCTCCCAGGGAAGGATCCCCAAATCCCTTCTCACCCTGTCCTCTCCCAGCTGCAAGCCATTCCTCCTTTTCCTATCACTTCTTCCTGCCGAGCTGATGTTGAGATGCTTCCATGAAAGCCGAGGAAGGGGAGCTGGGGCTGTCACACTGAAGGGTTGTATGGCTGCTCTGCCTCAGAATGAGCTTTGGGGACATATTTCTCATGCATCATTTCTAAAAAAAAAAAAAACCAAAAAACAACCAAACCCGAATTTATCTTCAGCAGAAAAGCAAATGTGTTTGTCCTGACCTGACACTGTTTTTTTAAAGTGTCAAGTGCTAATGAAATTCCTCAGCCTTGAGCAGTTCTAGGCATTCAATGCTGATTTTTAAAATATGGGGATATTTTGCTGCAGATTTTAAGGCAGCCTCGAAATGATGAATGTTCGCGAGTGTGAGAGGAAAGAAACTTCCAGATTCAAAGAAGTTCTGACATAATCTCGCATGCAAAGCAGACAGCAAGAGGCTCCTGCTTTAAAGAGGTTTTTTGTTACTCCTTTGAAATTCCTTTAGCAGACGTAAGGCCAACGCTGCACTTTCATCATGCAAATTTGCTGATTTTAATATTTTGGGCTCAGGGAGGCAACAAAGCAAAAGGATTTTTTTATTCTTTTAGGCTATAGGATGAAATTTGGAATGGAAATGTGTCCACAAGGCTCGAGCAGTTCCCCCTCAGATTACTCTGCTTTTTGTGAGGCTTTAAAGGCTTTTTCTGCAGGAGGAGGGTTTGGAAAAGGAGCTGTGGGTCAGCACAGGGCATCTCCCTGTGACATCAAATCTGGGCTGGGATAAAGGCCAAAACTCCAGTGGCTTTTCCAGAGCATGGAAGTTCATTACATTATGAAATAATTGAGGTAATAAAGGTAAATAATAATAAATAACAGGAATGAGATTAAATGAAAAAGAAATATTAAATGAAGTGAAAAAATAAATGATCAGGTAAAAAAAGAAATGAAAAGGAAATAAGGAAATGAAATAAAAAAGAAAAATAAAATTAAACAAAGTGTAAACTGAGGAAATAAAAGGAATTAAAAAACTGAAAGAGCAAAAGGAAATTATAAATATAAACAGCAAAAAAGAAATAAAATAAAATAAAGAATAAAATGAGATTAAATATTAAGCAATAGTAAAAAGAGATAAAAATAAAATAGACTAAAATAAAAATAAAATATACAAAAGTAAAATAGAAATAAAACAAAAGTTTTAAAAAATAAAATAGACTAAAATAGACTAAAATAGACGCAATAAATAAATAAAATAAAATAATATTAAAATAAAATAGAATGAAATGTCATAAAATGTAAAATAAATAAAATAAATAAAATAAAATAAAACATAAATAAAATAAAATGTAAAATAAAATAAAGAAAATAAAATTATTAAAATAGAATAGAATAATATGAAATAAAAATGAAATAAAATGAAAAAAATACAATTAAATAAAATGAAAATAAAAAATAAAAAATGAAAAATAAAAAATAAAAATAAAATAAAAATATAATAAAATAATAAAAATAAAAAAGTAATAAAAATTAAAAAGTAATAAAAATAAAAAGTAATAAAAATAAAATAAAATAAAAAATAGAATAAAATAAAATAAAAAAAATAGAATAAAATAAAATAGAATAAAATAAAATAGAATAAAATAGAATAAAATAGAATAAAATAGAATAAAATAAAATAAAATAAAGTAAAATAAAATAATAAAATAAAATAGAATAAAATAAAAAAATAAAATAAAATAAAATAAAATAAAATAAAATAAAATAAAATAAAATAAAATAAAATAAGTAGAAGCCATTGGGAGCCGGAGGCAGGAGCCCGAGCCCCGCGGGTCCCGCCCCGCTCCGGGCCGTGCCCGCCCCTCCGCGGCCCGGGGGTGGGGGGAGCGGGCCCGGGGGGGCTCGGGGTGTCCATGGCGGGTCCCGCCCCCGGCTCCCCCCGGCTCCTCCCGCGGGTCCCCCCGGGCCGGTGCCGCCCCCCGCTCCCGCCCCCGCCCCGCGGGCGGCCCTGGCGCGGAGCCGCTGCCGGTGCCGGTCCCGCCGGGCCGGTCTGTGCGGCGGCTGCCGGCGCTGCTGGGCGAGGTCAGGGAAAGTCCATGTGAGGAGCGGCTGGAATCACTTCCTGCCGCCGCCCGGCCCCGCCGCGTCAGGCCCAGGGCAGCCTCGGGGGCCGGCGCCCCGCAGGTGAGCGCAGCCCCGGGACCCCGGCCCGGCCCCGAGCCCCGGCCCGGCCCCGGGACCGGCCCCGGCAGCGCCCGGGACAGCGCCGAGCCCGCATCGCCCCCGGGCCGGGCCGGGCCGGGCCGGGCCGGGCTGGGCTCGGCTGGGCTGGGCTGGGGGGGACGCGCACATCGCGCCCTTCACCCACAGCCCGGGGGTCCCGGGGGTCCCGGGGGGGTCCGGGGAGGGGGGACCCGCCGGGGCTGTGACCCCCGTGGGAAGCGGGGTGTGGGGGCTCGGGCAGTTCCTGCGGCACGGGGGGGACCGGGGCTGAGCCCTCCGGGGGGCGGCGGGGCTGAGGGCGCGCTCAGGGGATAAATGCGGGCGCAGGCTCCGACTTTGGCTGCCGGGGGAGGGAAACGCTGCGGAAAGGGAGAGATTGAAATCCAAAACCCGGCCGAGCGCTGACATTGGGATTTGGGGATGGACCTCCGAGCCGTGGGGTGGCGGGGGCTCACGGGGGTCCCCCGGGACCCGGCGGGGACCCCTCTGGCGCTGCTGCTGCAGGAGCCGGGGACAGGAGTTGGGTTCGGCTGCGGGAGCGCCGCGCTCCCCTGCCCGCCGCAGCCTGCTGTAGTTACAGCGCTCAAGGACTTCTCCAAACATCTTCCCTGCCCTAGGAAAATCCAACGCCAGCGGTACATCGCGTGCTGCTCCGCCGGCAAAGTGCAGGATCGCTTCCAGCCAAGTCTCCATTACCCGCCGGCTCATTAATTTGAATATTCCCTTCTTTTTTTTTTTTTCCCCCTCTCTCCCCTCTCCTTTCCGGAGGCATTTGCGAGGCTTGTGGGCAGCTTGATGTGCTCGCTGCCTGCCAAGTGTTTGCCTCTCGCCCTGCGTAATTGAAGGGCTGGCGTGCCGGCTCACCTTCTCCAGCTGAAATATTAAACAGCAGGAGAAGCTGGGATCGGTAAACAAACCGGGATGATTGCTGCTGCTGCTGCTGCTCCGTGGGGACACTGCCACTGGGGTCCTCAGGAGAACCGGGGCTGCTCCAAAGTGCAGCATCCCAGCTCGCCTCACCCCAAATTTCCTGTTGGATTCACAGCCTGCTCTGAAATTCTGAAAGCTTTTAACTGAAAAGAGCAAAGCTGAGCTCTTGCTTGTGAGCTGACTTGCTGTGGTTTGCCCAGCTGAGGACAGCAAGGCTGTGACCTCAGGGTGAGGATGACAGAGGTGATAATGCTTGGATTTGAAGTGGCAAGTATAAAAAAAATTAGGGGTCTCATCCTCTTCCTTCTGAGAGTAAATGTCCTTCTGTGGTTATGACTGCTGTGTTTTGGGGTTTTTCCTCCTGCAGAGGCCTTTTAATTAAGGCTTCACTGGGTAAAAGCTGTCCTTTTGGGACACTGCAGGCTTGGGAAGAATTTCTGAAACTTGAAATCTGTCAAAAAATAACCTCCCAAGGCAGCTGGAATTGCAGAGAGCAGAGTAAAGCCAGGCATCAGGGCAGGAGCAGGGGGTCCCACGGGGGTCAGAGATGTGGTCTGAGTGTTCCTTGGGCTGTGGCTGTGCAGGGCAGTGGTCCCAAAACATTGTCCAGGGCTCCCCAAGCTTTTCCCAGAGCCCCACTTTGTTCTGAGAGATGGATGCTATTAGCTAAGTTGTGTGTGTTGATGCTGGATCATTTTGGAAGTGATATTTTTGGAGCCCTCTGGCAATATAAAAGCCTTTTAGCTCCCCCAGCCATGACTGTGCTTTCCTGAGGGAGCCTGCTGGAACTGGAGACAGATTTTGGCTCCTCTCGGCCGGTGCCAGTGACAGGGCAGTGTCCCCACACTCGGGGTGGGGGGGGACACGGAGCATCCTCACTGCTTGTAAGTCCAGGAAAGAAAAATCCCTTCTCCTTGAACTTGAGCCTGGCTGGAGCATCCAGGTGAGTCCCTCTGGACTGGGCTTTGGCTCAGATCCCAGTTGGAGGTGTCAGGAGGAGCGAGGCCACTGTGCAGCATTGCTGGCCAGGGAAGAAACACCAGCAGAGCTCCTGCCAGAGCCTGATCCACCCGGGGAGCTCTGGGCTGGCTCGGGAGAAACCTCCAGACTGCGCTTTCCCGGCTGGGGAAACAACCCAGCTCACCTTGGAATGGAAATATTTATTTCAGGCTGTCCTGTAGCACAGCCCGTGGTCCCTGCCCGGCCTCCTGGAGGGCTCGGGGATCTGCAGGGATGGGATCAGAGCTGGCCCTGCTGGCACAGCAGCACTGGGGTGACGTGGATTGGGGACAAACATCATGGAACAACCTGGGAAACAGTGCTGGGACTCGGCTCCTGCTTTGCTCTGTGTTTAAAAATATTCAAGCCTGACAAAATGGGGTTAGAAGGAGGATTCAAGCCATGGCTTTGAATTTTTCCAGGTTTTCTGAGCCAGCAGCTTTTCAGGTGGGGAAATAGGGTGGGATGTGCTGGGCAGAAGGGAACTGCTCCGAGACAGCTCCAGGGATGCTGAGGAGCAGGGGGGACTGCACTTGAGTGGCTTCTTTCCCCCTCTTTCCTAACCTGTCTTTGAGTTTACTTGAATGTAATGAAAGAAATAAAACCCAGGCATTCAGCTGGAGGAAATTAAAGGGAATTGTGAGTTCCCTGCCATACCTAATGGCCAGAGCGAGCATCGAGCATCGTATCTTGCTGCAATTAGGCTTCAAATCGAGCTGAGCCTGTGTTTGGCATCCAAAGAGAGCTTCCCAGCCCATTTATTCCTCATGCAGGGAAGTGGCAGCGGATCCCATAGCCCTCAGCACCCACTGGGATGGGCACACCTACAGGAGGGCGTGTGGGGTTTTTTTGTTTTATTAAATCGAGCCTGTGGAGCAATTGAGAAATAGGTGAAGCATGCTTAAAAGAGGGTGAGGCTGTTGGTTTTCTCTACCTGACTTTATTTGCAGAGTGACAGGAATTTTGACAGGCTTTGTGTCTTTTTTAGCAAATCAAGTGTCATGCCAGGTTTGCCTGTGGATGAGATCATTTGCAAAATATGTTTCCCAGCTTGCTTCAGGCATAATTCATTGTGTCAACTGCAATTGCTCATTTGCTAGGAACTGTGATTCATTAGCGGTTTATTTTTTGTTGGGGTTTTGGGTTTTTTTTTTTTAAGTTCAATTTGTTTTTAAGCAAATGTTTGGAGGCAGAACAGGAATCTGAAAAAAGAAAAAAAAATAAATTAAATCTTACATTCTTTGTAGCCACAAATTCTGCTGTGAAGGGAAAACTTGCTAAAATGCCGTGTTCCGGGGGAGGGAGAGGCAATCCCAGGCGAGCTCCCCGGGCAGGATTGCGCTCGGGTTTGTCATGTGGTTACTCCTAAATGGGGACGGAGGTAATAAAAATCGGACTGCTGGGACAGAGGATGGAAGCAGCGTGTGCAGCTTCCTCCTTCTCCCAGCCTGGGGGAGGATCCCGGGGATTTGGGCTGGCTTGGGCAGGAGGGATGGAGGATGCTGCTGGGACAGGAGTGATGGGAACAGTTCTTTGGTGCGGTGACCAAGACCCCCCGAAAGCTGCGGGCTCAGTGGGATAAAATGAAGATGAATAGCCCTTGGCACAGGTTTTGTGCTGTGTGTGTTCCCGGGGCTGCTCGCAGCCGGCACAGTTTGGCCTCAGGCTTTTCAGAGCTCCTCACGTCAGACTTTTCACAGAATTTTGCGTGTCGAGTGCATTTTTTTGGTGCTGCGTTTCCTATGAAGACAAATATTTCAGTGCATTTTTTCCCCTAGGTGGGTGGATGGGAGGGGGCAGGAATCACAGCCACAAACTACCCTGCTCTAGCAAACCAGCCTGTATGAGCTGAATAAATTGATACACTTTTCACCAAAAGATTGATTTTATTTCTTTTTCCATAAAGCTTCAAAGTGATTATGAAATGTACGTTTAAGCATAAGTAACTTGACAGGTTTGTTTTTTTTTCCCCCGTGCAACAGTTCTCTATAAAGCACTCTTAAAATGTTTTTTTTTTGGTTTTTTTTTTTTTCCTTGAGTATTTGCGCATTATTTCTGGTTTTTAACCGATAAAAGATTTTTACGAGCCAGGAAAAAATTGGGAAAGGGGGAGAGAGAGCACAGGAACGTGGGGAGTCTGCTGACTTCTGGCGCGCCGGCGCCGTGCCCAGGCCCTGCCAGTTTGCAGCGGAGCCCAGTGCCAGGAGCCAAGGGCAGCAGAGCGTGAGCAGAGGGAGGTGGCTCCATCAGAGTGACCATATATAGTCACTGGGACCAGATTAAACACTTCACCTCCCCGGTGTCATCCCCACGGCCATAAAGCCATTAGCAGCATCTATTCATCATTCATTAAAACAGCAGGAGAAAATTCCTCTTTTTCCCCAGCCCGAAGCATCTCCTTGGTGGTTCCTGTGGACGCATCAGCTGGGGGAGAGCAGGCAGGTGTTTTCCATCCCTGAGGGGGGGTTGGGGCTGCAATCCAAGGATTGGAACCCCCAAGGAGCTGTGGGTTCAGTGGGGCTGAGGGTGAGCTGGAGAAGGGTCCTGCCTGCGGGTGCCGGTGCTGGCTCCGCTCCACACGCGCGTTCCTGCCGTGGTATCCACTGGGAAGAAGCATATGGCAGCCTGGGATATATATATACATTTTGTGTGGGGGGACATGTTTTACATGCCAGTTCTCCCTGTCATAGGACAAACATTTACTCTTGGATTATATGAAGCATTAGGGAAGCAGGAGAGAACATCAATCCTTGCAGGGAGGCTGTAGGAGACGCTGGGCAGTGGTGACACGGCAAAAGGGGTGATAATGTTTTGGCCCTCCTGAGCTTTATGGGGTTGTGCTGCACAGTTTTAACGTGAGACATAAATAAAGGGTTGGTGTTTCATGGTGTGTCATGCAGAAGGCAATGGCCAGGTGCCCAAAGGAGATGGGCAGTGAGGGTTTATACATTTGAAGGTGGATGAAAGGATTTGATTTCCAAGGGAAGAGGCAGATGGGGCTTGCTGGGAGATTTCCAGTGGGATGCATGAGC